CAGATCACATGGTGAGAGGAAGCAAGAGGGGGGGGGTGCCAGGGTCTTTTAAACAACCAGCTCTTATGGGAACTAACAGAGCAAGAACTCACTCACTACCCCCACCCCCCAGGGAGAGCATTAATCCATTCATGAGGGATCCACCCCCAGGACACAAACAGCTCGCAACACTGTCACATTGGGGATCAGATTTCCACATGAGTTTTTGGAGGGACAACACATCCAAACTCTATCAGGAGCCCTGGTAAAAGAGTTGATAGGAAGGACCTCTGAAGACAGGATGGTCCTTCTGAGTAGTCCCCCCTTGAGTCAAGGGGGCCAGGCTTTTATTTTATGCATTGACCAGTCATTGGATGAGGGCTGCCTAGGAGAGAAGACATGATCTTGGGTGATGTAGCAATCTTAGGCTGAAAGCATAATTTCTGGAAAGCAACTCAGCAGAGAGCTTCAACTGCTCACTCTCCCAGAAGCTGGCAGAATGAATGCCTCAGTCCTACAGGGTGATTTAGATATCACCACAGCATCCACTATGGGAACTAAACCTACAGCACAGGGTAGCCCCAGCACAGCATCCCTATCTGTGCCAAGGGGCTCAGTTCGAAAGTGAGAACCCAGCAGTGAGAGATGCTAGGTTAATCCTAACCAGATAGTAACTAGGAATTGTTCTGGGGCAGCAGTGTCCCCTAAGGGGCAGAAATACAGGGATCAGGATCTGGTGATTGGGAAGAAGGGTAGGCAGGAACTAGAAAGGGCCCCACTCATAGATGGACTCTGGGGAGACCAAGTAGGCTACAGGATAAGGTATTGAGGCAAAAACAAGCAACAACATGGTGTGAGGGTAGCCACTGCAGGTGCACTCCTGCCCTCCAAATATTGTTGGGTCCAATTTAGACAACATACAGGGCTTCACCAGAGTAATGACCAATCACAAAATCCCAGGTCTTGGGTAAGTGACCTAATTCCAATTCTAAGGGGTAGAGACTGTTTCTAATTCAGCTTTAACCCACAACTGGAAGGACTGGAGACCTGGAAATGGGATTAATGAGTAGATGGTGGTTCCAGAGCTGATGAAGCTAAGGCAGCCTTTGTCATCTAATGTAAGTACACTTGGCCCTCCATATCCAGGGGTTCTGCATCCATGGGTTCAACCAACCATGGATCAAAGATATTTTTAAAAAATTGCATCTACACTGAACCTGTACAGACTTTTTGTGTCATTATTACCTAGACTATATAGTATAACTATTTACATAGCATTTACATTGTACGAGGTATTATAAGTAATCTAGAGATGATTTAAAGTATATGGGAGGATATGCACAGGTTATATGCAAATACTATGCCATTTTATACAAGGGGCTTGAGCATCCACGGAACCAATCCCCCATGGATACCAAGAGGTGACTGTGTTTGTTTCAACATCTGTGGCAAAGGCACTTGGGCAAGGTGGGGTTTGGTCATAATCCAGGTACCACCTTTGTTTGCATCACTGATTCATCTTTTTAAAGTTTAAAACTATAAAAAGGACTGTGAAAATGTAATAAATGTAAGTAGCTGCATGGCTCCACAGCCATATTCTCCCACAGCTGTCTTGTTTTCAGGAACCCTGAAAGTTCAACCTCATGTTTGCCCAGCAACTCTAGTTCTTTACCACGCATCTGAGATACAGAGTTTGGGAGTGTTGCTGTCTTTTGCTAAGAAAGATCAGTTCCTGTCCTTTATTTTTCTTTGCTTTATGCATAGCTTTCATTCCTTTTGTTGACCCTGGACAGCAAAATCACTGAACTGTCCTTGCCTTAAGGCTCTTTTTCCCCAGATCTCCTTGGCTTCTGCTCTATATCAAATGATAATTTGACTAGACCTTTCCACAAGAGTTGCTGAAGTTCACAAAATTCTTGGAATACATGTATGTCTAACTTCAAAAAAAGAAAGTAAGAAGGGAGGGAGCCAAGGAGGCAGGCAGGCAGGCAGACAGTCAGTACACCAAAATAAAGCTTTTTTTTTTCCATTTGTCTCTCAGGTACAGAGTTAAGTTAATCATATGATTATCATATTTCTTCATTCAAGTAACATCATCATTGGTCCATTCATTCAAATTCCCTCTCTGCTTTCATTTATTTTACCCCTTTTTCCCACTTCTGTTCCTCTCAACTCTCCTTACACAGTAAATTCCAATGTATGTTCATGTATTTTCTTTTAAAATGTCTAACATTTGGTGTGCATGTATTTTAATTCTGCAAATAATATTTTATACATCTCATTAATTTCTTACTTGTTTCTCTTTGCCCCATGATTCTAAGGTCCACCCATGCTTGCTTCTACATGCTGACCTATTCAGTTAGGTGTGCACTGTCCACATTTTGCCTGCTCATTCACCCAGTGCTGGACACCCAGGTTGCCTCCAACTCCCTGATGCCACAATGCTGTGAAGAAAATTTTTGTACAGTTTCCCTTAAGTATCAGTTTGAGAATTTCTCTCAGATGTATATTCAGGAGTAGAATTGCAGGGTTATTTAGACAATTGCTTTATAAAGACAAATCAGAAATGAAGACATGACATCTCTGAAATAAAAATATAAGTCAGTGGGATAAATGGTTTTGGATTCACAAGACCACATTCTCCACGTTGCTTCATGGGAACACATCTGCCGTGAAAAGCACAGTGCACCTGCCTCACCTCTCCCCTCTCTTCATTCTCTGCCCCCCACCCCCGGCCTCTTTCATAACCCAGCCTCATACACAAAGTCACCTGCTGTTTGCTTGGTGTCTCTTTTATGGTGGGGACTCTATTTTTGCTCTCATCACTGCTGCCTCTCCTGCTCTGCAGCATCAACATCAACTCTGCAAAATTTCATCTTGCACCAGGGCTGTTCTGTAGTCACTGGGGACTGCCAGTGCATAATCTACAGCTTCTGTCACTTCTGTCCGACCTTTGCTCCTCATTCCTTATCCCTCAATCAGAAGCTCAGACAACCTCCCTGGTCAAATCTTAACCAAACTGCTCCTCTGGGAGCCAAACCATGCTTGCATTTGGAGGGGGAGGCTGCCTGCTGAGAGGCTCCAGCTCCTGGGCTCTATTTGCATGAATAAACAGCTCTGAAGGATTCAGTTGAAGCTTTTATGTAAACACTCTCCAAAATATGTTCTGCACTGCATTACCCCAGCAATAAAGATTCTGGAATCAGAATTTGGCTGTCAGTTTTATTGATGCTGCATGGGGTACAGTAGAATACAGCTTTCTCTTCTGGAAATTTATTGGCTTGGTAGTGCAGAAAGCAATAAAACTGTGTTTTTAATCAGGAAGCCAAGCGGACATGATTCCAGAAGAAATACAGGAAGCAAATATGCCATCGCAAGATTTCTCCCCCCACTATCCCTGTTCTTCTCAGATCCCCTCTTAAATAAGTTTGAGTGTTGAACGATGTGCTTAGTGGGACTGTCTACAGGACTAGAATCAGAGGACGAAGTTTAGATCACTTCCCCTAGGTTGTATGACCTCTAAGAGACTGTTGACGGAAAGCAGTTTTCTGAAATGAATTTTTTGAAATCACTCTGCATTAGCTCTTAGGGAGGAACTGCTGATAAGCTGCTTTGCAGGAGGAACAGAGGAAGTGTGACATGTTTCCTCTCAAGAGCAGCAAGGTTAAAATGCCTGTCTCTCCTGTTCACCAACAGATAGTGAGTTAGGAATCACAAGCTTCAGCCCAGTACTGCACAGTGGAAAGGGCATTTGGAGTCAGTCTGCTTGGTTATTACCTTGCTCAGGTTACTTAATCTCTTTGTGATCCAATTTATTCTGCTATCAAAGGGTAATACCTACTTCACACCACTGCCGAGTAGATAAAATAAGGTTATAGGTGAGTGCACATACTTTGGACAGCAGCTTACACCAGTAGCAAGCCCCTTCTGTGACAGTAAGCCATCTCACTGAAGTCCGATCTTCATGGAACAGGTGCTCTTTCCTGGTAGCTAAGGTAGTCCTTGCTGCACATATACATGAAAACAAGGTAGCATCTCCCACCTCTGTTTTCATGTTCCTGACCTTCACTTCCAACCTGAAATGTCCTGGTCCATTTCCTTCCTCTTTGCTGGTCCTTGGGCCAAATTCTTGAACCATTGTAGATGCCAACAAATGTTGATTGAACATTCTTCCCTGCCTTGCAGATGCTTTCTCCTGATTTATGTTAATCCCAAGTTCCTTCTGTACTGGTTTTGCTATCGCTGAGCATTGCTCTTTTCTCAACTCTTATGTACTGCATAGCTTTTATCTCAATTCCAAGAATATTTAGATTGTTCCTGTGGGTGAAGTGGAATGCCTGAAGGAAATGTTCTCACAGATGTCCCCCCCCACCTCTGCAAATGACAGAGATGCCTGTGTGAGTTACCCACAGGAGCAAAGTGGTCTGGTTTGGACAATATTAAAATAGGCTGCTTGGGGAAGATGGCATAGAGTGAATCTTCCTTTTTCCTGCCTGCCTGGTTTCCAATTGTATTTTCACCATTGATTTCTCCCCTTTATCCAAGATAGCTCCTTGTCCACCCCCCCCAACCAAGCCTATAGGACCGCTCTAGAACACTTAACTATTTACTTGGTGCCAAGCCCTGTCCTTTACATGGGTGATCTTAATTAATCTCAACAACACTGTGAAATAGGAATTATTATTCCACTTTTATGGATGGAGAAACTGAAACACAGGGCTTAAATAAAATGTTCAGGGTCATATAGCCAGGTCATAGGACAGTGGGGATTTGATCCCAGGTGTGTCTGATCCCAAGGTTCGTGATCATAACCACAACATTTTATACTCTTTGATAAAGACTAAGGATGAGTCATGGCACGTACCTTTATTGATAGAAGTTAAAATTCTCAACCTGTATAGAGCTGTTGGGAACTCTTTAGTCACACACAAACACACACACACACACACATTTTATTCATGACCTTAAAAGACACCCAATCTTAAATCTTAAATTCTTGGCTTTCCTTTTTTCTTTTATAGATCACTCGCCTATCTCCCTGTCAAAGTAATCCCATCTCAAGCTTTCAGAGGACTTAATGAGGTCGTAAAAATGTAAGTAAGTTACTAACATATCAAAAGACATTCATAATTGGAATAATAAATTTTTTTCTAAGAGAAAACAGAGTTGAAAGGGGATAATTTTTCTAGGAGAGAAATTGTGTTTAGGAAACCCTAGTATTTTTATCTTTATAGCACAAATAATATCTAGGGACCTTTGAAGAAAAGGTATGATTTTCAAGAGCCATTAAAATTCAGATAATTAACCTTGCTTCAAAGAACTGAATGCATTTTTGATAGATGATGAAATACTTTTTAAGTAGAAAAGAAGACAGATTCCAATCATAAAAATTTTCTTTCTGCTAGAGTAGCTATTCCCTTGTGTCACATTCTTAGATAACACCCACATAGAAGAAAATGTGTTGGAAGTTTATTGTGCATCAGAAGATAATCTTTGTATCTAAAATACAATAAGTGCATGACAAAAACACAGTATTTATAGCTGTATTGATGAAAGGCATTCATCAAACGTGTAAAGCAGCCTTATAATGCAGTGTGATCTCACGTTTGTCAGATGTAACTTCAATCATTTGTCCCTGGGTTTCAGCTTCCAGGGCCAAAAACCCCATACATATAGAGAGAACTTTCTCAGTAATGCAGTGTTCCAGCATCCTTCTTAATGTTAGCCTGAGTCAAAGGACCTCAAAGTCCAGTTAATTCCTGTAGGGCATCTCTAATTTTAGCAATCCACTGGACTTCTGAAGCCAATTTACATCTCTAAAGAAGATGCTATACCTTCAACCTTGGCTCCTTGGGGAACCTCTACTTCTCTTCTGGGTATTGGCAAGCAATGAGAATTTTAAAAGTAATTCCTCAAGAATTAGTGCATATTACAGGAAATTCACTGCAAGTTAGAGACAAGTCAGTTTGCTTGAGCCTAACCCCTATTCTTCTGCTCTCAAGTTAAATGTTGCGTTTTGATAACTTTAAATGCATTAAGAACTCCTACTGAGAAAAACAGCCAAGTTAAATAAGCAAACCATTAGGTAGGAATAGGATGAATCAGCCCAGGAGCAAGCCATTACTGTGTTGTTCAGAAGATGTTAACTGCCTTAGGCTCTGCCTTTCTGTGGGCTAAGACTCTCATCATATCTGGAGCCTTCAGTGAACATTAACTGTAGAAACACACAAATGTACAATTTGTGAATCTGAGATTTTTTTTTCTCAGCTGGCAGCAAATGGTAGCTTATGTTGGGATTTTAGGGTAACACCGACATTACCTACATGCTTGGGGATGGTACAGGACAAAACAGGTTCCTTTGCTCTTGAGTCTTTTTTAAAAATCAATTCATTCATTAGTCCATCCATTCATTCATACCCTAACTATGTGCTAAGCCATATGAAGCCATCAGGGATTCACACATGAATAGAATAAACCTCTTGTCCTCGGTTTGCTCACAGAGCAAAAGAAATAGATAATTACAATCCATGATGGACACCATGTGCAAGAGTTGACCACTTTGCAATAGCCTCAGAACAGGATTTTTGGAATCCAAGGATTAAGAATTATGAATGAATTAATTCAATCCAAATCAAAGCCTCACTATAGTGATGAAATGGGGACCTCAGAGATCCCAATCCTAGTCTTGAGTCTTCATATAAATACTATTTGCTTTTCTTCTCAAGGCTTGTATTTTCAGAGCTGTAAAACAAGGGAATGTGATTAGATTTTCTCAAAGGGCCTATCTACTTCTAACAATCTGTGACTCAGACATAGAAAAACAAGAGAAAAACCTGTCACAGAAACAGGGGTTACTGAAACTTGCATTTCAACTGCACCTGGGTTGTAGATGCTCATCATTGCTCCTAACGGGAGATGTTAGCACTTTATGATATGAGGACAACTAGCATGTTCCTGTTCTTTTTCAGAGGGACACAATGAAGTCCCTGGTTATTGGATCACACATACAGCTAATTATCATGCGGATACAGTCATTTCTTTCATATTTCTTTTTTGTTTTTTTCCCCTTCTCCCCTAGTGAAATCTCTCAGAGTGATTCCCTGGAAAGGATAGAAGCTAATGCCTTTGACAACCTCCTCAATTTGTCTGAAATGTAAGCATCAGCTAACAGATAGTTTATTACTGTACACTATTACCCTCGCTGGCTGGAGCCCACTCAGTATTTGTATTCAAGCATCCACTGTTAGGAATCCAAGAGGAAATGAGTACAGCAATTACTAGGTCCGGGTAGGCACTAATTTCTCTCACTGCAGTGGCCTGAAGGTTGCCATGGTGACAACTGCTTCTCCCTGGGAGCTGTATAAACTCTGAAACATCACAGCACAAAGTTGGAAATTAAAATTGACATTGTGAAGTCCTGCCAAGTAGCTCTTGCCTTTTGGAAGGAAGGGTATGGAGTACTTGGGGTAGTGGGAAAATTTGGAAAGAAGATTAGAGATTTGTTCACTGGGGGCTGTTTTGTCATATTCATCTACTAAATGCTTCATGGTTTTTTTTCTTTTTGTTTTTGGTGACTGGTCAGTACAAAGATCTGAACCCATGACCTTGGTGTTATAAGACCATGCTCTAACCAACTGAGCTAATCAGCCTGCCCTGCACTAAATGCTTCTTGAATACCTACCATGTAAAAGCTCTGTGTTGGGCCTGTGTATGTTGGGTTTGTTGTGTTTTGTTGCTATCATGATGTTTTAGAATTAACTCTTAAAAAGAACCCTTTCCAAATTATCATTTTCCCCAAATTCACAAAAAGGAGGGAGAAAACTGGCTCAATTTAGTTTTCAGATGATGAACCTGTGGTCCAAAGATGTCACACAGCAAATTAGTGCCAGAGCTGGGACTAGAAATCAGGTCACTCGACTTCTAAACCAGGCCTTTTACTGCTGCTTCATGTGGTCCGAACCTGAGCTTCTAGAAGAGCACTCAAACGTCACCTGCTTAGGAATTTCAAAAGTAAGGGAAGAGGGACAGTATTAGCATCAAATATTTTTTGAGTTCCTGGTCTTGGCATTTCCTCTATGTTGTGTCATTTAATCCTCACAGCTACTCTGAAGATTGGGGTAATTATCACTTTTATCCAGGGGGAGCAATGGAGGCTTGGAGAGGTGCAGCAACTTGACCAGTATGACACTTTGGACAATGACAGAACTGAGATTCAACCCGGGCCTTTCTTCAAAGTTTGTGCATTTTCCACTGTACTACAAGGCCTCCCTATAAATGGCCCAACGAACAATTATCTAAAGAGAATAATTAATTATGTAAATACCCGCCATGTGTCCAGTCTAGGGCCAAGTGCTGCTGGAAGACAAAGGAGTTAAAATATAAATGTCCACCAGGAGATGACTATGTGGCCAGGGAGGTGAAACTAACTCACCAAATAATTACAGGGAAATCAATATAATAGATATTTAAGTGCCAAAAGATATAGTATGGACTTGTCTGTGAAGCAGAATTGTGTGTGGGGCTCATTACAATTGTAGATGACAGTCCTATCCCAGACCTGGAAATCTGCAGTTTTAACAGACTTCCCAGCTAATGCTGAAGCACAACTTATATTGAAAATCACCAGGGCATAATAAATAAATAAAGTTTCCCGTGATACAAAGCAGCATTTATCAACAGAAAGAAAAATAAGGCGCTCCAAGGGAAAATTTATGGATCCCAAAGAAAGCCCTAAGATAGGATGCTAGCTCCATGCAGGCTCTCTTTGCTTTCTTCACAGCTGTATTTCCAGCACCTAGAACAGTGCCTGACACATGTAGGTGCTCAATTAATGTTTGTTGAATGAACGAAAGGAAGAATGAATGAGTGGCCTAAGGTCGGACCCCAAAAGATCTTTAAGAAATAAAAGTCCCTTCCATCCCACCCACATAGTGCCCTATATTTGCTGTGTAATGATGCCTAGCCTCCTAACTTCCCTAAGCTAGTGTTCCCTTCTGTAAAACTGGAATAATAATATGTTTGCTTCCTTCCTTACAGCTTGGCAGGTTTTGAGTAACAGAATTGGGAGAGATTATATGAGGCATGGTTTTGCAAAGTATAGAAGTACAGCCATATCACTCACATCTGAAGAATCAAAAGAACTTACAAGATGGAAAAAGGCACCAATGGTGGGTAACTGTAGTTACCAATGATAGAACAAGCACTAGACTTGGAGTCAGAAAAACTGGGTCACATCCACGTTCTGCTACTCCTCAGCTGTGTGACTATACACAAATCATACAACTTCTTTTTTCCCTGATTCCGGCAACCATGATAATAATCATTAACACTGGTTGAGGCCCGTGAACCACACACATGCGTATCCTCTTCAGAAGATCACTCCATGAGGAAACTGAGGCACAGAGAGCCTTAAGTAATGTATCCAAGGTTGTTTGATTAGTAAAATCAGGATGTAAAACCAAGCGACTACAGAGCCCATGTTCCTAACCAATATAACAATATTTTCTGTATAAAACAAGGTAATTATCATTTCTTCAGGTGGTTGTTGCCTGACTAAGAAAGCCAAAGGCATTTATTGGCTTTTTATTGAATTGAAAGTAGACAGGACTTGGCAACTGTGGCTACTTCTTTAAGGCTCACAGTTATCGGGGGAGATTGGGAAGAAGGGCAAGAGCCCAACTGTGGCACTGTGGTGCTATGGCTGTCCTTTCATACTTTCTAAAGTCCTGCCTTGTATTACCTCTGCTTATTCTATTACTCAACACCTGCCAGCCTGTGAGGCAGAAGGCAATACTATCTCAGGGAAGCTAGGAGGCTGGGCATCATCACACAGCAAATTATCTATAGAATGGACATAAAATTCCCAAAATCCAAGCCCCTGGCTGGCTGCCCATCTGGATAACTGGTCAGTGTGGTGTCCAGCCCAATATGAAGAGGACCAGTTTGCCTGAAAGGGAGAGTAGCTAATTTGCTCACCTCTCCTGAGAGAGAAATGTCTCACCACTCCCTGTGTGCATGTCCCTCAATGGGGCAGGATCTACTCGGCCAGCAGCCCTGGATATTGGTGCAATCAAGGGGGCGGGGGGTGTGCAGAGACAGACTCCCAGACAGGATGCTTTTATCTGCCTCTTCAGAAGTTAAGAGCAGAGCATCAATGCCCCATGTCCATCTCCAGAGTCTCAGGAGCTCCTCTCAAGCATATGAAAGTCGGTTGATTTTGTTGATGCTGTTTTCAGCCAGTAACCTCTGGTGATCACGGTCTCATGCATTCCAAACAATACACATCTACTAAACTGCTCCCTGTTTTTCCCTCTCTCTTTACAGACTAATCCAGAACACCAAAAACCTGGTATACATTGAGCCTGGAGCATTTACAAATCTTCCCCGGTTAAAATACCTGTGAGGAATTTTCCTTTTTAAGCAGTTGGGGAGGGAAAGATGGGCATCTGATGAAAATCAAAACAGTTAAAAGGTTGTGAAGAATTTTTTAACACACTCTTAGCATTATCTGCGTGTTCCACTTCAGCCTTCTGATTGAATCAGTATTTCTTCTCAGCCACCATGCTGGGTACTTTCACATACGCGTAAATGGTTCCCAACGTTTTCTCTGTCCCAAACACCTGAGAAGAACATTACCCTTTGCAATGATTTTCAAAGTTGATGGTGGGGAATGGAGGGGTCATGACACTTTAAAAAGGGTAAATCAGAATCTCTAGGTGGTCAGAGAGTGGGTGAAGGTGCGAGAGGTAATTCTGACTTGACCCCCATCACTGGTTGAGAATTATTTATTTCCTTTATCTCATTTGTTCATTCATTTATTAAGTGAAAACTTTTTAAGTATTGCCTTGAGGTAATATAACTAAACAGTTATATTTATAACTAAAACTGCATAAACACTGTACCTTATAAACTAGATCATTACTTTTTATTTCCCATTAACTTTTTTTTTTTTTACTTTTTTAAAATTTTCTTTTTAATTTATTTATTATTTTTTTTTATATTTCTAAGATGTTGCGGAGCAGTTGGGGGGGAAGGGGTGGGAAATAGGATAGGAGGAGGAGAAAGGAGGAAGAGTGGGGCATGGTCAAGGTGCATGGCACCCCTCTCATTCTGGCAAGGGAGACCACAGGGCTTCCTGCGGCAGCTCAGTGGTTGTCGCTAGGCTGAATGTGGACATTGAGGGGGTGTGGCTGATGCCCTCGGCACCCCCCACTTCAGCGTGGGAGTCTGGGAAGTTTCTGGCAGTGGCTCAGTAGTCATCAGTGGGCTGGATGCAGACATCAGAGGGGCACAGCTAAGGCCCTCAGCCCCGCACCACCCAGGCTCAGGAGCCCAGGGGGCTTCCAGTCCTTCTAGGTTTTATAGGTGTTCCTTGGTAGTGTTAGACCTTTACTGGTTAATATCAGAACTTTGTCTTTGATCTGTGGGTTTTTTGTGTTTTCTTTCAGTTCCGTGCTGGATTATTAGCTACCCCCACCACTTAAACTCTGCACTGGAACTAATTTGTTGTTGTTTTGTTACGTCTAAAGAGGGGGACTTCCTGTGGAAACCAGCACTTGAGCAGTGGTTGAGCGAAATTGCTCCTTTGCTGCTGATTCTCTGGGGAAGGCTTTTGGTGCAGCTTAGGGTTTAATTGTTGACCTTGTAAGTACATCCAGGTCTTGTGAGATCTGGTACACCTGGGTTATGTGGTCACCCTGGTCTGGGCCTGAGTCTTTTCAACAAACTATATCTCCTACAGATCTGTATTCCTGATCAGTCTCCACTGAGTGGTCCTGTGCTGACTGGAGGACAGATGAGCTGTCTATATTGTGCCCCAATGTTTCCCTGGTGGACCCATCTCCCCCACACCTGTGCTCCAAACACCTCCCATGGGAAGGGCCATGTACCAGTCCCTTGCAATGACTCACCAGCTTCTGAGTGGCTCCTTTTTTCAGTTGTCTGTGTCCCCTCACTCCTATGTGGGTTCATGGGAATCCTATTAGTGGTCTTGCTGGCCTGGGGGCCACCAAGGCCCTCTTCTCCCCTGCATCTCCAAGAAACTTCACACAAAGGGCACAGGTGCAGCTTTTGCCAGCTCTTGCTCCATGTGCTCACCAGGGCCAGCCTTGAAGTGGTCGGGGCTCGAAACAATTAGAACAGTCCTTTCTTTCCATCATTGTGGCTACTCTTGCCTTCATGAACTCCATAGATCTCTCGTCCTCTTCCCCTGAGTTCTAGTGGCCCCAGTTTGGCAGTTGTTGCTTTTTAGTAGTTGTAAATTTGTTGATTTGGGGAGAGAGTGATGCTGGGTATAGTCTATTCTGCCATCTTGATTGGAAGTCCCTCCCATTAATTCTTAGTAAGTCTACTGGTTAACACTACAAATTGAGTACCACTGTAGCCCAACAGAGTCACTGCCTTGCCAGCAATACCAGAATTCCTGAAATTTGATACAATCTATAAATTTATTACTATGGTTCTTCTCAAATATCAAGTCATCACTATTCACACAGAAAAATGTAAAGCCCCCTAACACAGATATCCTCTCTCTCTTCTTTCTGATAAATTAAATTTCATAAACTCCCCCAGAAGATGTAAAGTCCAGTCACCACCACCCAAAAAGAGGTAAAAGAAAAACAGAAAGGGAGGAAACGGACATCCTCTCTCTGGTGTTCCACATCATCAGTCTTGCTCTGGGGCCTCCAATAGGAGCTGCTACTGGAATTGGCATAGCTTCTTTGGAACTCTAACACTGGACAATTCCAAACCCAAGTGTTCTGCTTTTCCAAACCTTCAGGGGATCTGTAGGGCACATCAGCATACTGCAGCATCAACCACTTTGGAAAAACATAAGAAAATCCCAGAACCAAATTTGACCACTGCAGCCCCTTATTATCTCAAAATCATTGTCTTCATTAAATAGCACTTTCACCCCAAAGTGTAATATTCCCCCAACCCAAATACACATTGCAGTCTAAGCCCACACTGCTATCCCCAGCCACACACAGGTCACAATTCAGTGTGACCTAGAGTTATAGGTAAAGAGGAGAACCAGAGAGAGCCAGAAGTGAAACCCAGCTTTGTTTCATTGTCACCAGGGTGCCAGGCACTTCATATCAGTTGTCAAGAGCCCACAACTGGTGAATTTTAAAACTCAGTTGGGGGAAATACAGATGCCTGGACTCCTCTGAAGGAGCCTCATTCTTATAATAAAATATTCTTCATTCTCGCCTATCACTTAAGCCTCCTCCCTCTTTGAAGTTAAATAAAAGGTGGAAGGAAAAAAAGGAGATGTGAGTAGCTCCAAATACCAAAAGAATGTTTAATGGTTTCAATGATATACAAGGCAGAAGTTCCTGAATTGCAAGGTAGCTAACTAAAGGGAGATTTTTTAATAATGAAGGATATGAGTTCTCATATGAGATTAATCTTCCTGAAGTGTTTGAATTAAAACCCGCTCCAAAGTGGAGGGATGTTTTCTAGAACTATCAAGAGTATGGAATAAGCTAATTACCAAAATAAAATGGAATGCAATACAACAAGGAAATGCAAATGATTTAACAGGAAAAGGCAGAATGGAAATATAAATGAAAAAGACCTGAAAGTTTGATCCCAGACCCTAGATCTCTAAATAGGAGTCATTAGGGCTGGCCAGTTAGCTCAGTTGGTTAGAGTGTGGTGCTGGTAAATAGGAGTCATTAGAGCAACTTCTCCCATAGCATTAGGGGCTTTTAAATTCTAACAATCTTCATCAGCTAAAAGTGTTACTGATAAAGGCAAACTCAATATTTCTTTAACTTAATATGAAAATTGTATTTACAAATTGCCTTTCTACTCCTTCTTATCTTTATATCTTAATGGCAATCACTCTCTGCCCACATCACCACTCTGCCCCAAATCACAGGAGCATCTGTAACACAGGCATCCGAAAACTTCCAGATGTTACGAAGATCTTCTCCTCTGAATTTAATTTCATTCTGTAAGTACCAGGCTGATTGCTATGCATAACAGTTTCCTATTTGCAGCTAAAATTTGGAAAGTAAATATTTCTCATTTCTTTCCTCAAGGGAAATTTGCGATAACTTACACATAACCACCATACCAGCAAATGCTTTTCAAGGGATGAATAACGAATCCATGACACTGTGAGTAAACTCCCAGATTCATGCTCTGCCACACAGCCTCCTGCATTCTCACTTCTGGCTGGAGGTGAGCTCTTTCTCATGTTTTACTACATTCCTCACTCGCTGGTGACATTCTTCTTGACCTAAAATGCCAAGGGTGGGAGGAGTTGTGTGGGATTGCAGCTGGGTCATATATTCACATGACAACCAACCAACCAACCAATTCAGTTCGAAATTAATCAAATGAGCCCTATGGATTTTCAGTGACCAAATTTCCAACTGATGAAATTGTTCACTGCATTAATGGAATATTCTGAGGCTGGGAAGACACAGCCTGGAGAGGAGTGGCTGTCTGGTTAAAAAAGAGCACAGAAATTTCAAGATTTCGACTAAGAAGAGTTTGGAAGGAAATTCTCTAAGTAGGTAGAGCCAACAGACCTTGCTTTCTTCCTCTGATTTTTCACCTTCTCCCTGGGTCCCTCTCACTTTGTTTTGTTTGTTTGTTTGTTTTTGTGGCTGGCCAGTGCTGGGATCCAAATCCATGATCTTGGGGCCATAAGGCTGTGCTCCAACCAACTGAGCTAACCAGCCAGCCCCTCGTTTTGTTTCTAAAGCAAAACCATCTATGCGCATTCTCACTATCTCTTAATACTTTAAAATAATGTCTTTTTATTTGACAGTCACTCGTCAGGTTACAGGGTTTCATAAGCCCTGCCCCTTTCGTGGTGTTTTCTAAGGCCTTGCTATTTAAAGTATAGTCCATGAACCAGCATCTTCAGCATCTTCTGAGAGCAGGTTAGAAATGCAGACTCTCAGGCCTACCCCAGACCTCCTGACTCAGCATCTGCATTTTCACAAGATCCCAAATGATTCACGTGTATGTAAAGACTGAGGAGGACTGTACTAAGATAACTCAACCCATTCCCTTCCCAGCACACCTGCATGACTTTCTTCCCTCTGGTATCCCTGCCGTCTATCTTCACATGGGGCACCTTCTTTGCCCCACCACTCAGAAGCAGCATCCTGGGCACCATGACTCACTTCTTTATGTCTAAAGCCCAGTGACCCTTATTCTGTTCTGCTCCCCACATCCGTATCCCTCTCACTCCTGTGCTTCAGTTACAGTACATGGAGGATTATGGTGAGGCGGTAAATAAGCTAACCCTTAAAGAAGAAAAGAGCATGGATTGGAATGCCTCTGAAATGAAGAGACAGACCAGAAGCAAGGGAAGAGACCATCTCAGAGCACTATGTTTTGTATCAATGGATTCTAAAAATTGGTATCAATAATACACTGCATTTATATAGCACTTTTACTTCGTGTAGGTATAATTTTACATGCATAATTGTCATGTTACAAAGCTGTAACTGATGTAGCTCCAGCTCACAGTATTGCAATCAAAAGAATACAGAGGAACAACCAAATTAATTCAATATAACTCAAATTCTTTACTTTCAACTCTTGAACACTAAGAAGGAGACTCGTTGATCCTGGAAATACTTCCCGACAGTCTCTCTGCTGCCACCAAATTAATTCAATATAACTCAAATTCTTTACTTTCAACTCTTGAACACTAAGAAGGAGATTCGTTGATCCTGGAAATACTTCCCGACAGTCTCTCTGCTGCTGGCACTTCCCTCACACACCACAGCTCTGCCAGCTGTTTACATAAAGTGTCTCCAACCAGCCACTGCATAATGGGTCTGGAACTACGCATTCATCATGTCTCCTGCCAGAATCAGGCTATTCACAGAGAAAACTGAGTGAGGAAGTACTACACGCCTTGTGATCTGGGGTCTTCCTATGCCTACGTCGAGAACACCAAAGACATAAGATTTATGTCCTCAAGAAGCTCATAATTCAATGGGGGACGGGGGATATGAAAAACGAAAGAATAATATAAACCAGTAGACATCCACTGTGAAAGTGTGTGGTATACAGAAATAAGATCTCAGAGAAGTCCTCTTGGGTGGGAGAAGTCAGAGGAGGCTGCATAGTGGAGCTGAGACTTGAACTGGACCTCACAGAATCAGTAACATTTCTATGAGTAAATGGGATAATAGCAGCTAATATTTATATAGCACTTATTAAATTCCTGCACTGTTTTAATTAAAGTCTCACAGCAACCTTATGAGGTAGGGACTATCAGCCCCACTTTTAGATGAGGAAACCAAGGCAGCAAGAGGTTAAGTATTTATCCTACTCACTCTTGCCCTTCATCTGGAAGAGGAGTGATTAGTCATTTGCTTGGCACTTGTTCTCAGCTGAAAGGGCCCTTCTATAAGTGAAGGATCATGTTGAGCACCCTGCTGGAAAAGGGAATTACACTTAAAGAGGAAAGCCTTATTTTCTCAACTATAAAGTTCAACTCCCTAATTAGAAAATAACGAAAGCAAGCCTTCTCTTTTCATTCTTAGAAGTATTTGAGATTTTGCTTTTTGTGGAACTTGTCTTGCTCTCTCCCAACCCAAATCTTTATCAACTGCGAGCTCATGTAGTGAAAACAAAATACTTCACTTGATGCTGGAGAAGCTCAGTGGGGCTAATGCTAAAACTGTGCATTATAGTCTTATGTCCCATATAGCCACTTTGGCTTTTCATTAAATCTCTTTAAGAGGCCACCTTGAAACATCTTCCCTGTGTGAGCAGGATTTACCTGAACCACCTTTAAAATATTCTATATGACTGGTCCCATCAGTCTCAGAAAGGAGACGACAACCTTGATCAGTATCTGAACTCCACAAAAAGATGGAAAAGTCCTGGCAACTAATTTTCTAAGATGCTTCAGAGCAGGGATGTCTGACAAAGCATGACAAGATCCCAGGCTGCAACCCTGACAAGGCACAGTAGAGAATCCACTGGGTGTTAACATAGGAAGTCTGGGTTTTAGTCCTGGCTCTGCATCTAACCAGCTAAGCAGTCTTAGTCATGTCACCTCGACATGCCTCTCTCTCTGTTTATTCAATCTGATTACTAATACCTGCTTGTGAAAATCCAATCACATTGTGTCAACTTCCCCATTAACACAATTAACCACAGTTAAAAACTAATGTTCAGCAACATAGAGCAAGCCAGTTGTTTTAGACCATCTTTAAAACATCACATCTCATCACCTCCTCTCAATTTTTTTTTTTAATTTGAAACTTTTAACTGAAAAATGGAGTCACTTCCCATCATTTGTCTTTCCACTGACAAATGGAAAGAACAGTATGACGAACACCCCATACACCTTACCTGTATTCACCAGCTATTAACAGCTAGCTACACCCACTGCATCTCTATGTACATGAGTATATACTCACATGTGAGTATGTATTTACAACACATTGCCCTTTTGCCAAACCAGCCAAAAGAAGTTTATAGACATCATGACATTTTATACCTGATACTTGAGCATGTGGCTCCCCAAAACAGGGACATTCTACATAACTGCAATGCCATTACACCTAAGAAAATCAACATGAATTTAATGATATCACCCAACCTATAGTACACATTTGGATGAAAATGTCTTTTACAGATTTTTTAACACTGAGAATCCAATCAACATTTATGTACTGCATTTTTGCTGTTAAGTCCTCAGTCCTCCCAACCTCACCTCCCACATCTCCTTCCACCCCTCGAATTGTCCCCCTGCCTTCCTCTGTTCTGTATAACACTGAATCCTTTGAGGAGCCCAAGCCAGTGTTCTGTATTCATCTGATTTTATTACCATGACAACATTCAGGTCAAACATTTTTATAAGAACATGCAAAGGGGATGATGTGTCTCTCCCACTGCATCAAATCAGGAAGTACATCATGTCACACTGCCCCACCCCTTGACCACTTGTTTAAGGTGGTGACTGCCAGACCTTTTCATTGTAAGGGCACATTTTTCCCTCTGTCATTAATAAGTAAGCCATGGTGGGATGCTTTGAATTTGTGTGTCTATCCAGTTGGCTGACAACCTTTCATCCAATGATTTCAGCTTCTGCTGATTATTCAAAGGGAGTTACAAAATGATTTCAGCCTCTGTTGATTATTACAAAGGGAGTTACAAAATTGTAATTTTTATATTCTATCATTCCTCTACATTTATTATCCAGCACTCTTCCGTAAAAAAAGAGTCTTCTTTTTTTCCCTCTTTCCTCTCTCTCTCTCGTGCTCTTTTGAAGTATCACTATGGAACATGGATTTTTCAAAAATTTGCTTCAGTATATTAGAATCCATTACTGTCATCATTCTTCTTGATGCCTGTCACCCTTTTTATTATTACATATGGCAAAGTCACATAAGTTGACATGAACTTGGCTGAGGTGGAGGGAAACATGAAAACTCAGTGCTGCTGAAAGGCAGGAGGCACACCCATATCGGGGAGAGGGAGCCCTTGACAAAGAGACTGTGAGTGCCCCCGAAATGGGGACCCTGACGTACATTCAAAACTAGGGTGACGGCAGCACACGGTAGTAAACAGGCAGCAGTAATCCATACAGCTACTGCCAGGACATCCACTGGAGAAGTGTTCATACATGAAGGATTATTTATATAAGGACTTCGGCAAAGTGCCCCACAGGGAACACAGTGGCATATTTAGTACCCCCCTTCTTTAAGATGCTGTTTATTTGGTCTTTGATAAAAATTTGCTTACAGAGGGTATAGTGTCTAAAAGAGTATGCTTTGCCCTTCAACAATGGGGCCACTTTTTGAGACCTTGAGGATCTGTAAACATAAATTAAGCTTTCTTCTTTGAAATCATCCAGAAACCAGGTGATCCAAGAGAATTATGGCCAAATGTCGAATACTATTAACATAACCCCAGAAATACTTTTAGAGCCCCAGGAATATTTGGAGTTCACTATAAGGCAGCATTCAGAATTAGAGTATCATCTGCGATTAATATCTAAAGCCTGAATCTTATTTTGAACAAAAAGGTACCATTTTCTCTGTTTGATTCACAATTGCTGACATTTGAGTACAGAACCTAGGCAATGCTTTAAAGTTAGGTGCAGCTATTGTAACAGAGGAAAGGGCAGGGGGGAGCTCTTTATTTCTATGCCAGTGACAAAATCCTCAAGGCAAAGGAAGCCCTCCTCATTTAATTCTGATACCATGATGTTCTGAGAAAAAGAGTTATCTGAAGTGACTCTCCAGATGTTTTTAAAGGGCACTAAAAGCATTGTGCAGGCCTGACAGCATGAGCTCTTCCACTTGTATTTGTAATTTCTCCAAAGTAAGGAAGCCACTCTTTTAATCAAAACAAGGAAGATCATTCTATTGTGTGTGACTGGTAAGAACAGAGACAGAAGCAGCTGAAAAGGAAACGGTGAGCCACGTTCTTTGGATAGTTGGGACAAGCAGGACCCAGGCTATTAAAAAAAAAAAAAGACATTAAAAAATGTCCAAATGCAAAAATGTCCATGATGCTAGCACAGACCAAAGGTGGTCGAGAGCCCTTGGAGAGTGAATACATTGAGGCAGCCCAGGCCACTGACCTGACTTGCTCTGCCCAGGAACAAAATGGTCCCTACCCCAGTGGAGGAGGATGACAGTTCAATTAAACAGGACACCTGTATTTGATAGAAATACTGGCAAGAGCATGGAAAGGGAGAATTTTTTCCTCTGTTCTGGTCAGAAGGCTAGAGGCTATTGCCAAATATAGTAATAATGATGATGATAGGACCAATACATTAAGCATTTATTGTATTCCAGAACCTATTTGTAAGTGCTTAGCAGATATTTACCCTTTCAATCCTCATAACAGCTTTATGAGGTCGATACTATTGCTATATTTTCAGATTAGGAAACTGAGGCACAGAGAGGTTAAGTAACTTTCCCATAGTATTTCAGGTTGTAATTAGCAGAGCTGGGATTCAAGCCCAGGCAGCTGGGCTTAGTGCCTACATGTTTAATCATGAGGCTGCACTTAGAGCAATGGCATTGTGAGCCCAACAAAAGAGTATGAAATCTAATATTTGTCAAAACTAGGATCAGGGCAGCACACAGCTGTGACAGGTAACGGGCATCTAGACAACTGCCAGCAGATTTGCTTTGCAAAAACAAAGAAGAGGCTATTTTTTATTGATCCACTACACATGTAGAGAATGCAATAAGGGGATTAGACTCTGTACTCCATTCTGAGCAACAGGCCATCCGATGTGCAGCGTGAGAATGAGAATCGCATCGCCCTCTGATATTCCCTCGCACAAGGTTCCCAAACTGGCGTGCCCAATACTCACTGAGAGAGCTTATGATAAAAGGGCATGTTCCTGGATACCACTGCTAGTTTCTGATTCAGTAGGTCTGAGTGTGCATTTTTAGCAAGGAACTCCAGATGATTCTGATTCAGTGGATGGAGGAGAATGCTTTGACAAATGCTGACCTAGACTCTAAGAAATCAAATTTAAGGAAGTTCAGAAAAAAGAAAGGTATGATTCCTCCACCTAAAAGAGATCGTTATAAAGGAATTCAACCACTGAAATGTCAGGAGACTGCCAAAGAGAAATATTCTAAGTGCCAAAGAGTAATATTCCACTGAGATGGAGCTGCTAAAGAGGCAACATGGTTGTGTATAAATTACACAAGACAACAGATATAAACCACGTACCTAGCATCTCAGATCCCACAATACAAAAGGGAAAGGAAAACTATTGAAAAATGGTATACAATAATCCCATATGGAACATAGTTAAGAACTGGTGTGTGAGGCTGTAAACTCAGAAGAACTCCAGAAAAAGGCATGTGAGAGCGGGGGAGGCCATGAAGGAGGGCCCTCCCTCCAGGAAGGTCAAAGCTGCCACCTCACCCAGACTGCTGACTGAGCTCCTGCTCTATACCAGGCAATGTGCGAGGCCCCAGAGGTGTTAAGTAATGAATTAAATATGCTCCCACGCTCTCTTTGAACTCAATCTAATGAGGAGACTTTAAGAATTATTTTGTAATCTCTAATTTACACTTGCATTTCCTGTATTTCAGAGCTCACATATCACACTTCAACATGAGTCCCACCTATATTTATTTATGTGCTGGTTTGCCACAGGTGTGCTGTGGGTTGATAGAAAGAGACCATACACACACATATTTTACATACATACATATTATATATATATATGCACACACCATAAGGTGAGGGTCCATGCTTGTTTTATTTATTAAAGGCTAGAGAAACCTTGTGGACAACAGCCACCTGGAGCAGGAGCAGATGGAACATGTGTCTGAACAGTTTCTCAAGTCACAGCCTGTCCCTAACATGGCCATGCAGCTGCCAGCAACCTTGTAAAAGAAAGTCAGGGTCTTGCCAGATACCAGGAACTTAATTCTATATTGCACCATACCCCTTTCTCACTTGGGTCTTACATCGCTGTTCCCAAAAAACTTATACAAATATTTCCATTTAAGACAATGGCTTTCACATTTGTTTGCCTATACCTTATAGTGAGAAATTCATTTACATAGACCCATGTAGTCATCCAATTCATTTAACATATATTCCCAAGTGCCAGGCACCATTTTAGATATGGGAGATTCTGCAATGAACAAAAAAGTTTGAAATCCCTGCTCTCATCAAGCTTATGTTCTCCTGGGGGAGGTACAAAATAAACAAGTAAAATATAATCTTGGGTCACATGGTGATAGAACAACAGAGGAAAAACTAATTAGGGAATGGGGATAGGAAATGCTAGGGGATGGGAGGTTGGTATTTCAAATAGGGCAGCCAGGAAAGGACACACTGCGAACCTGCAGGAGAAGGGTAAGTGGGCCATGAGGACATCGAGGGAGAGAAAAGTAAAAACAACCAGCAAAACTGATGTTCTGGAAGTAGCTCCAGACAAAGTGTGTTCTGTCCCATTTCTGCTAATTCTCAGCTTTGGACAAGTCTGAGCCTATTTCCTTCTCTGTAAAATGAAGGGGTGATGCTTGATCCTCACTAGGCTTCTTTCTGACTCTAACATTGCCCAGCATCTGTGTTCTAAGGAGCCGCTTATGTCTTATTCTGAGTAGAAGTATATGTATCTATGTTGTGTGTGTGTGTGTGTGTGTGTGTGTGTATATATATGCATACACCTATGAATACATATACATGCATATATATTCTCACATATGTGTGTATTTACATGTATATACCACATTAAAATGGCAGAACAAAATTTCATAAACATTAACGCCCTAATACCTTACAACATACTCTAATACTTTTCATTTGTTCTATTCTTTTCTATTTCATTTTTTAAAATGCTGGTTGCACCCAACTAAATTGATTTCACTATCTACTAATGGGTCTCAAAGAACTATATACATACATTGAAATTTTGATTGTATAGCCAAATTTGACATCAGCAAAACCACATATTCATCCAAGAAAAAGGAAAGCTGACTCGGTACTGGGGCCTTCCTCTGGTCTCAGCTTCCAGCAGCCCAGAAAACCTGTATGCCCACACAGGCCTGCAGAACCAGAGAAAAGGCTTAAGTGTTAGTCAGACAGCTCTGGCCTCAAATCCCAGCTGTGCCACTGCTCTCCTTTGACCTTAAGTGAGCTACGTTACATAAAGGTGAGGCTTAGGTTTCTTATCAGAATAAAGGAAATGATGATGAGGATTAAATTATAAAATATACATAGAATGGCTGGTCAAGTATCTGGCACTTAATAAGCACTGAATAAATTGGTGGTGGTGGTGGTGGTGGAGAGAGAGCAAAAAGAGCTTCATCCCTCTTGGCCCGTAGAATCTAAAATGTTAGTGAAACAGAGCTGAATACTACGAATGCCAGTAATTATCTTCGCACTAAAAGTCACAGGAGGAAGAATGTGTGTTTCCAAACTGTGTTTCTTTTGGTTCCTTCCCATTCATAAACCCTCTCTCCTCCCTCCTTCAGCAAACTATATGGAAATGGATTTGAAGAAGTACAAAGTCATGCATTCAATGGGACAACGCTGATTTCACTGTAAGTATTTGCTTATTTTCCCAGCTCATGAATAAAAATGAAATATTACTCTGGCTACCAGATCACACTCAATCTTCAGCAACTAATCTTCACTAACTAACTCAGGGCAAAAAATAAACTTTCAAGTGGCTAGTCCTCAGTGTTTCAGGCGTGTTACTAGGCAACCGCCTGGCTGGATACCTGATTTCACAGACAGATGCAGCCTCAATCCATTGAAGTTGACAGTTTGCTGAAATATTCAACACCCTACTTTATGCCTCCTCCATCTCAGCCTCCCCTTCTAGCCCCCTCGCTCAGGTTGATGGTGTGTTAGAGGCAGCACGATTTCACAAAGAAATTCTTCCCTTGGCCCCACTGCAAAGAAATCGGGTAACACCATTTACCAGCTTAATCAGCCACAATGGACCTGCTCAGAGAATCCCATCTCCCTGTGCTAATGGGGGAGCAGGCTCTTTTTCCACAGGGTGAGGGAGCTTTGTGTTTTTACCACCTACCACCCTAGTCCCCAGTGTTAACAGCCTTTAACTCAAGAGAAACACCCCTACTGCTTCCTTCATTGTTCTCAACCTCTTTCTTCCCATGGCTCCTCTTCTAAAAGGGTGGCACATCCACAAAGCATGTGGGGCTGAGGACATTTGAGCCATAACAGGTAAAGGGTGAGGTGACAATCATCCTACAGTCATGTGTAATCAAAACTAAGAGTGCATGATAAGCTCAACTAAAGCCATCATTAAGAAAAACAAAGTCTTTTAAAATAAATAGGTGGTATAAAAGACAATCTAAACCAATGCTTCTCAAACTTTAACACATAAAAAGATAATCTGCAGACTAGTTAAAACACAGATCCCCAGGCCCAATTCCAGGGATTCTGTTACAAGCAAAAGAAAATGGACAAATACAATCTGTTAGCAGGAAAGGCATAAGGTTAGAAGGGGTAATCCAGGGCTACAGACATTAATGCTGGGGTCGTCTGAATACAGGGGGTGTCTGAAGTAGTTTATGGCTGAGCTCACCTGAACAAGGGGGAAAAACAAGAGGACTGGATATAAAATTAGGAGAAAACAGAAATGAGGAGGAAAAACCAGACCAAAATCAAACAGACTTGGAAGACAACCAGCAGAGCACATCCTTGGAAGGTCAGGGAAAGCAGAGTTCAGGAAAATTAGGAGAAAACAGAAATGAGGAGGAAAAACCAGACCAAAATCAAACAGACTTGGAAGAAAACAGCAGAGCACATCCTTGGAAGGTCAGGGAAAGCAGAGTTCAGGTGGGAGGACTTTAGGTGGTCAGCAGTGCCTCAGCCATTACAGAGATGCCAAAACGGGTACAGACTGTGAAAAGTCCAATTAGTCAAAATTCTGCATTCCCCTGTACCTCACTGTTGCAAAAAAGAAGAAACCAAGAACACAAATCAGTTTGTCAAGAACATGAATCGATGTCATTGATATGTCCTTTCAACAAACATTTATTAAGCACCACCTGAGTCTGCATGGTAGAGTGGGCCTGAGGACATGATGTTTAGGCTGAGCCTAAAGGATGATAAGGGGTCCACCATGACAATAGTGAGGGGAAGCACATTATAGAAAGAGGAAGCAGGATGTGCAAAGGTCCTGAGTTGAGAAAGAAGAGAAGTTGGTAAGTTCCAGGAATTGTGAGGAGGCCAGTGTGGCTGGAGGGTCTTCAGCAAGGGAAAGACTGGAGAAAAGTCTGGAGATGTAACAGGAGCAAGCTGTGCAGGACTGAGGGGCCATGGGAAGGAGTCTGAATCTCTTCTAAGGGCAAGGACACCCAGAGAAGAGTTTAAGCAGGGAGGGGGGAGTAGTTTTCAAATCTGTCAAGCAAAATTTTCAAACCATCCTTTCAGACTTTCCTCATAAACAGGCCTGTCCAAAGTTGTTCAGAACAATGACACAGAAGCCCTGCAAAGTTTTCAAATATCCTGCTTACTATGGCGGGACAGGAAAGGGAGGAGCAGACCAGAAGTTTGCCCTCAGACACCTCCAGGGGCCCAGAGTCAGTTCCTCCCATCGCCAGAGCTCTCCACTGAGAAAAGCTTGGTGGAGTTTGTGGGTTCTTGCACTGTGCTTCAGAAGGTCACCCTGCCTGTGCTTTTCACATCTACAGGGTCACATCACTTGGGAAAGTTCTCAAAAGTGGCCCCAGGAAAATGCAGTATATGGATTTAATTTAATTTTTGACCAAGTTACACAATGCAGAGTTATCAGTATACAGAAAGATCTGGGTTTTAATAAAACACATGAACTGCTCTGTTGTGAAATTTGAACAATTAATCTGACCTAGCTGAGACGAGGATAATTTGCTCACAGAGCCCACTTTCAATTATTTGTAACCATAACTGAACATAGTTAAAACAAACTGAATCAGGAAGAGCCATGGGGGGTTAGGAAAGAAAATTTCTTTTGATTTAGATTTTTTAACAGCAATTGACTCTGACCACCTCATCCCTTTGTAAACAGAAATACACCCAGGGGATGGGACGGTGTGAGGCTGACAGGTGCATTCTGATGAAAGGGCTGAGGGTTTCCTAGGAACGTGCTTAGGAGAAACATGTGGAAAACAGCCACCCAGAGAGTGAGATACAGGGGCCTTTGCAGTTTTTAAATGACAGGCGTGATGTGGAGACATGCAGAGAGACAATGAAGAAGATGTAAAGCTATGAGACGAGCGCAGGTAATACCTAGTCATCCTGCTGGGGGCGGGGGCTGGGAGGGCAGCAGTGGGCATTGGAGTTATTTGTTTTGCCATGTAACACTGTGTAACACTGTAACAGTGGCACAGAATCATGTTCCTGTGCTTGCAACCATCACACCAACAACTGATGCCCACTGTGCCCACTGACTAGGGTTTCCCAGAATGTTCTTTGAGTCTCCACCCTTCTTTTATAAAAAGAAAGTGCTTAATACAAAGGCTGGCAGACCTGAGCTCAGGGATTCCTCTTCTAGCTCCCTTGTCCACCCAGAGAAAGGCCTGTGTTTAGAGACACCAGCTTCAGGGCCCAGACAGGAGGCTGCTCAGCAGAGCCAGGCTGAGTCGTTCCTGAGGAACTTAGCCTGAGCTGCTTTGAGCTAAAGGGAACAGAGCTGATGAGGCACCATCAGCTACTGCTATAACAGCCTTTGACTTCTTCCACCCTCTTGAGACACTTTTGTTTCCATAACACGCACACCTAGCAATGCTCATCTATGCTGCACAAACCCGTGGGGCACCAGGGCATAGGGCAGTTTTCCACAGAGGCAGTAATTCCTCCCCTTTCTCACCCACTGAAACATACATAGCTGAAAGAAAAAGAGTGCAAATTACGCTATGAAAGGGGTAACTTTGAATGGACCCTACCTTTTCTTTTAAGTATTTGCAAACTTCAGTATATTACTATTAACAAACTGAGATGTCCAAGGAAGGTCACAATGGCTGAGAGTCTGATACAGAGCAAGCTGCACTGTGACCCTTCAGCCTTGCCACTTAGAGCAGCATTTTCAACCTTAACCAGCTGTCTGGTAGTAAACTTCCATAACTCCAGAACAGGAGGGGGTAAGGACTTTAAGCTGGAGGACAAAAGGTTCCACCAAGTATGGGGGAAATTTCAGAGAAAAGATGTGGTCAAACACACACTTCAGCAATTTTGCAGTTTCACCAAGAACTAGCGTGTCTTTTTCTCCACTCTCTCTATAGTTCCTCCCTTTCCCCTTCTAAACCTGCGTTCTATGCACACAGGTTGGCCCAAACGTGTGTATACATAGCTATGAATGTTGACACATGAGGAGCAAACTCCACTAAGGAAACTGTCCTTCCCCACAGGGAGCTCAAAGAAAACGTACACCTGGAAAGGATCCACAACGGAGCCTTCTGGGGGGCCACAGGGCCGAGCATCTTGTGAGTACAGTGGTTCTGCCTCCCCTCCCCACCCAGTACACCCCAACTGGCCGGCCTGCTTTGGGTGTCCAGCCATATCATCCCCAGCCTGGTTTGTGGGGCATCAGCCTCTGCATCTGAAAAGGCTGCTGTTGCAAAGAACAAAAGTATTAGGGCTGCTGTAGTAAAGTACCTCTAACTGGGTGGCTTAAACAACAGAAACTTTGCCTCACAGTTCTAGAGACTGAAAGTCCAAAATCAAGGCGTCCGCAGGGTCAGTTAGCTCCTTCTGAGGGCTGTGAGGGAAGAATCTGCTTCAGGCCTCTCTCCTTGCTCCTAGTATATCCCTTCTGGTGTGGCAGCGTAACTTCAGTCTTCACGTGTGTGTGTGTTCTCTGTGTGTGTGTCTCTCTCTCCAAATTTCCTGTTTTTATAAGGACACCAGTCATATTGAATTAGGGCCCACTCTAATGACCTCGTTTTAATTTGATTACCTCTGTAAAGACCCTATCTCCAAATAAGGTTCTATTCTGAGGTACTGAGGACTTTTTTTTTTTCCTTTTTGTCTTTTTTCATGACCGGCAACGGATCGCAACCCTCAGTGTTGCGCCCGTACCGGCCCGGGACCGGCAACGGGATC